GGGGGCTAATGACCTTTTCCTTAAATGCTCATATGAAAAATTCCCTCCCTATTGTTCTACCTGTCTGAAATTTGGTCACAAATCTGGAACCTCCTGTGCCTTTTTCACCGGAAAAGCTCCCTCCGGCGAGGGCAATAAGGGCAGTTTCGAAAGTATCAATGTACCTGCAGATTCTTGGATAAAAGTTACAAGGAAGAAGTCAAAACCTGTTCAGCAAGAGAAGGCTCCACCCTCTGTCAAGGGCCCTGGTCCTATTTTATTTAAATGGAGGGCCAAAAATAGACTCAATAATAGGTTTTCCCCAAACCTATTAGACATTTTTGACAGCCAAGATTTAAACAAGGACCCACCCAACCCCCCTTCTGATTTTGCCTCACCCCTTCTGCAAATATCACTCCCCTCCAACTTGTAGGATTCCATTTTGGAAAAGCATTTTTTCCCACTTTGTCAGAAGCTAAGGAATATATAGCCAAGTCAAAAGGACAAAAACTCAAATCCAAAGAGGGATCTATTATTTCTCAGAACTTGCCTATTCATAAAGGATCTTTGGATGATTGTCTTCACACTCACTCCACTCCTTTGGGATCAGGGCCTAACTTTGAGGGTTTTATCTCTCCCTGTTCTTCTGACAAAGACTCTTGGGATTTTGGCAGACACTCAAATGATGGAGAAAAAGTAGAACTAATGGACAAATCAGATATTGAGCCTGCCTTCTTCAAAACCCCTTCACCATGCTCCATTCCTCTTTCTATTCCCTGTGCAAGGAAGAAGAAATACTTTGATGTTACTAGAACTATTTTTATAAGAAGTAAGAAGGGACACAAAGACTTTTCTTTCCTTAGTCTCAAATGATAGTGCTCTTTTGGAATGTCTGTGGAGTTAGATCCTCTCTCAAAAGGATTAAAAATCTTAACAAATTGTACAGAACTAACTTCTTGGCTGTTATTGAACCTATTGTCTCCAATGATCAATTGGATAGCTACAGAATAAAACTGGGTTTCTCTCAGGCTCATTCCTCCTCAAATAACAAGATTTGGGTTTTTTGGCACATGGATCACCTCAATCTTATTTCTATTCTGGACAAGGACCAACATCTTACTTGTCATTTTAGAAACTTGGTTTTGCACAAAGATACCATTATTACATCTGTCTATGGGCAACACACTGGAAGAGAAAGAAAAACCCTATGGAACAACCTCTGCTCTATGATTCCCAGCCATTGTGGGTGGGGATTTCAACGCTGTGGCTAATCTCTCTGAACACTCTGGAAGAATATCACCCCTACAATCAGACATGGATGACCTCAATGACTGCCTTGAAAATTGTGGGCTTATCAACCCTCAGCTGATTGGCAACTTATTTACCTGGTCAGGTAATAGAAGCAGAGGTAGAGTTCAAAGGAGATTAGATAGAGCAGTAGTTAATGGCACTTTGATGAACAATTATGATGACATCACTGTTACTCACCTCAGCTCCACTACATCTGATCACAAGCCTATCCTCCTCCAATGTCTTCAAAATCAGAGTTATGGTCCCAAACCTTTCAGATTCCA